CTGTTTCGGGCATTCCGATGTGAGTCGCTGGAATTTCACAGCTGCCATCAACTCCTTCGAGTTCATTCACGTTTGCGGTATTTCATTACAACGCGACAGAAACTACCAGCCTTCCGTATGGGCGCAATCACAAACGTGAGACATCTCGCGCGCACATTAAGGTACTGGGCGAGCGCGACCTTACTGGCACCTGAAGGGAAGCGAAGGAAATGTATATCCCCAAATCTTTCCGCCTGGCGAGAAACGCGCGCTAGTGTTTAAGGCGGAATTTTACCAGCCGACATGTATCGTCGCTAAAGTTCTCGTTTCTCGCACTCAGGGTCACTGCCCAAACTTTGCTGAGCGCGTTGCTTCCTAGCAATGCAAAGTCACCCCCTTGAAATACACTGCCTACACGTTGTCTAGCCTGGGAGTCCACACCGAACGTCATTGCCTCTGCAAAGGCAATCTGTGCCAAGGCCAGCGAGCGAACCCGCCTGACGCCATTCATCTCGACGACGTCATGTAGCCCGGCACCGCGGGTCTGTCTTACTCAACGCACGGCAAGCTTCCTCAACCCATGGGCCCGATAGCAGCCCGATGATGCAAGCGGCGCCATCCAGTCTGGCGAGTCTTACGCAATGCGTGGCAACATCACTCGTCCTTGAGGTGCAACCCAACGCAGCGGCTCCGGATTTGAGGGATCATGACGCCACCCTGCGGCGTGTCCCGATTAGAGGAAACTGACGCCACCAGTGGTGGTTCCGATTGGACTTTGGTGACGTAGTGGATAACCCGGGGCCTATAAAAAAAAAAGCTGACCTATGCGTCAGAGAGCAGCCGACGTATGCGTCAGAGAGAAGACATCTCGGCTCTTCGAGTACCTAAGCTGTCGGCCCCAGTGCCGAATATGTAACGCCTCTAGTTTTATGCTGTACATAAACCTCGCCTTAACTCACCGTCGTCTTGTCCGCTCGTCTATCAGCTCTGCGCAGAAGCAGTCGCGAGCTGAGAAACACACGCTACCAAACAGCGAGTGACCTTGGCAGCGGCGAGTTTCGGAGCAGCGGTGCCCTGCGGAACCGTGGCGTCGGAAATTCGTAACAACGTCTTGCTTGGTAGTTTGTGTCCTGGGTTGATCAGCGACCCTTTTATGGGACTCGATGGTCGCGCCGAAACGCCGTACGGTATAAAGCTTGATGATTATTTGACGAAAAGCGACGCTGCTCCCAGTGCACGCTTGACAACTGGCGAAAATGAGGATGCCGCTTGTCACAGGTAGGCAGCTTCACCGAAGTATGCGTACCAGTGGCTAGCGTGGAAGAGCACTTTAGGCTTTCAGTATTTCTGGCCTTCTCTGGAGTATTTATTAGACCACTTCAACAAGTGCTTTAAAAGGCATCGGCACACCTTGGATGTTTTCTTCGCTTCTGCCACAGAATATTCTCGAATCTGCCACTCTTCCCACTGCCGAGAAGTTCGCTGACGTGTACTCGAACATCATCTGAACTTCGGCATTGCAAGGGGAGTTAGCAGTATGGGCTGCGAAATGGAAGCGAGAGAAACGAGAAATGCTGAGCAGGTATGCGATTCAAGCAGTTGACGATTGCCCAGAGTTATTCTTCCCAAAAATGCACCACCTTCTGAAGAATGTAAGAACTCTGCCGGTGAGCACAGCTGAAGCAGAACGCTTTTTTTTCGTCGCCGAGACGCCTAAAGTTGTACCTGAGAGCTGGAACAACAAATGATTATTTGGCATCACTCTCT